AATCCAGAACCAGAAATATATGCGCACACAAATATACCCAATCGATTTTTGACCAAAGTGTAAAAGCAATTCTACAAAGGCAGGATTTTCAACAAACGAAGCTGGAACAATTGGACAGCCATAGGCATAAAACAAGCAAACAAACAAATGATGGATGTAAACTACACACTCATATAATAATCAACACACAAGGATCATTTACTTAAATACAAAAAAATAAAAGTAAGTTTTACAATTATGGGAGATGCAATGAGTTCTTTGATTTGGTAACAAAAGCACAATCCATAAAAGTAAACTAGACCTAAACAGTATTTAAACCTGGCTTCAACTAAGCCCACATGGAAGAATGTAGAAAGAGCACACCTACCTCATGATCTAAGGATGGTCAGTTATACACTCCAAATCAGAAGAAAGGAATTCTATCAGAGCTTAAATTGTGAGACTCTGGTGTGCAGAGGACTATGGATGACCCAGGGAATAAGCCTCTGGGGATTTCCCTCCTCACCATAATTGAGGAATGGGAAAAACCTGCTTATCAGAGTGTTGGAGAGATGACTATAGTATATTCAAGTGATTAATCTGACTTGAATGGTTCAAACCTTGTCATATAAACTCCTTTTTGATACACGTTGTGCTTGATCTATATTAAACATATATAGTCTGTGTGGTTTTTTTCATATTGGGGTTACTCGGATGTATTTTGTCATTGTTGGTAACCTTCTTGACCCTCTGTTATGTATTTTTCTATGTTGCATGTATATGAAATCCAGGCTGGGTGAATCTATAGAGACGATAATTAGAATAAGGGTTCCTGTAGGGGAATGGCAGGGGATGTTAGGTGGGGGTAAGGGAGAGCTTATATCAAGGGATACAAGAAGGAAGAAAATGTTTTGAAACTGTTGTGGTAGTGACTGTACAACACTGCTTAATATGATTATCTATGGAATGGAATTATGTCTGGATTAGGTCCTAATAAAATGGCTTGAAAGAAAAAATATATATAAATAATAATGTAGACGGAAAAAAGACTTCTGTGAGAGTCTTTTTAAGTTTATAATACTATTAGGCATATTATAGAAATAAACATATCAACTTTAACACTGATCTATTATAGGCATAACAAGTTTCCTGGAATGTTTGCTAGGAAATGATATATATTTCTGAAAGTGGGCATAGTGGTAAACCACATGATAATGGTGAAATGATTGCCAATAGATGAAGTCCAAAAGAGTTTGTATCTTTTTATCTGAAATTATGATTCCTCATTTTCTTAGGTTGAGTTCTTTAAAATAGAGCTTTTAAAACTTTTACACTCACAGCCTCTTTGAACCTTGAGACATACAGAAGCAAGTGCTCAGATTCATTATGCTCTTGACTTTTATTAAGTTTTGACATTGCATATTCAGAAACCTTTTACTGCTACCCAATTTTTCATGACCCCAAAATTTAGTTATGTGACCACATAAAGGTTGAGACCCCAACTTAAGAAGCTTTGCTCTAGAGAAGGGCACACACACACACTGGAGTAAGGGAGAAAAGAGAAGAGAGAAAAGACAGGTAGATGATAGATAGATAGATAGATAGATAGATAGATAGATAGATAGATAGATAGACAGACAGACAGACAGATTTATCTGAAGGAAATGGCTCAGAGTTATAAAGGTGGACAAAGTTTGAAGTCCTTGTATTAGATGGCAGGCTGGAGGCTCCTCCTTAGTCACATAGATGCAGAAGGTCAGATGGCAGGTTTCTGGCTGAAGAGGTGATGTAAGGTCAGTAAACAATTTAGCAGGACTCTGGCTCAACTCCAAAAAGCCAGAGGTCTTATCATGAGCTAGATATAAAATCTAGACCCAATAAAAGGCATGTAAGCTTTTCCACAGTGTCCACATATATTGGAAGCATGCCACACCACTGAGGCAGCTCATTTTCAATTGAGCTCACATATCTCATCACGAAAGTAATTGTATTACATTAGCTCTCATCATGGTGGGGGGGGGGTGACTTCATCTTAACTGCCAAACAACTAAGAATTTTGGCCAAGCAAAAATTATGTCTGGAACAACAGAGGCAGGAGAGTCAGTAGGAAAAGGACAGGATGTATGACGAAATATCTCCATGCACAGCTACCTCCTTTGCCTGAGATGAAAAAAACATGGATGGTGCCCCACTACAATTACTGAACATTTTGATAGAAAACAAAGTTCCTTTTGATCAGAAGAATCCTGATCAAAAGGGGAAAAATGCAAAACAACATGTCAAATTAATACAAGCACCAGACTTCTTGAAGCCGTGAAGATGTGGTGAACCTATCAGAGTATTTCCCTAAGATAATCTTTAGACCTTAAACCAAAAATAGCCACTAAGGGCTTCTTAAAACTAAGCAAAAGTTTTAACTTCACAAGTGAAAAATGTATGCTTT